TCATTAAATAACCCATTGAGGTTGGTATACCATAAAACAAACCAAACCAAGCAAACTATATGCAAGACAAAAGAAGGAAAATCAAGCGTAATAAGGCAAAAAGTTTAAAAAAAAAAAAGAAGAATGATGTTAACTCATAAACGGAATATAGACAAGTGATCACAGGGGTCTGAATTCAAGACAATTATATGGTGGATTAGAAAAGGAAGTGGTCTATCTTATTGACTAGGAAAGAATCCCAGCGTGAATTATCGAAAAATTTTGGGAGGGGGTATTTTTGCAATTATTTCAACAAGTATTAGAAGGTGCACCATTCCTAGAAATATTAGCAAATAAATGAATGCAATGAACACTTCTGGAAATCGAGCTCATCTCTTCGATTCTTTAATCTGAACCTTTATCTAGTACACCACCATGACTGTCACTTTAACAGAACTTTTACATAAATCGCTCCATTCGACCGCTCCATCCTTCACCGAGTACTTTCCTCGACCCGATCCAATTAAATGTTTTCTTACTTTGTTTTCTTCACCAGTAATGAATATCCTGGTGATCTTGAAATCTTAATGACTTCTGTTTTTTTCAACTGAACATTGTTCGCAAAGGGACGTCTTGTTTGTTATTCTTCATTGATACGTATTTTTCATTGGGATTTTTTTTTAAATTTTTTGTTTTGTCGCGCCCGTTTACCGTATTACACAGCAAACTTTCGTCAAACATTATGGCGTTTTCTCTTTTACTTCGTCAGAAATTTAACTTTACTTAATTCAGATGTCTTCTTGTCAACAACATTAAATTTATGGAAAATCGAAAACAGGTCAAGGCAAAAAGAATATATTTTGCAGATATTTTTTATCACGAAAATCCTATTGGTAAGAGATTAATAGATATTTAAATAAAGCTATCTGTCTATATCTCTGAGATAAGGTAATATGATTCCTTGCATTATTTACATTATTCAGATTGTTATCCTCATCTGAATTGCCATATTTACAACCTGTTGGCATCTAAATCTCTGAGACATGCCATTATGATTATTTGCATTATTTACATTCTTAGTACTGTTATCTTCCTCATTGCCATATTTACAACATTTCGGACGTTGTACGCTCCGGCCTTTTGCAGGTGATTGGAATTTTTTTTCAATATCTGTCTATATCTCTGAGATGAGGTATTATGCTTACTTGCATGTACATTATCCTTTTTATTATCGTTATCTTCATTACCATATTCACAACGTTTCGGCCTCTATGTCTCTGAAATGAGGTATTATGATTACTTGCATTATGTACATTATTCTTTTTGTTATCCTTATCTTCATTATCATATTCACAGCGTTTCGGCCTCTATATCTCTGAAATGAGGTATTATGATTACTTGCATTATGTACATTATTCTTTTTGTTATCGTTATCTTCATTACCATATTCACAACGTTTCGGCCTCTATATCTCTGAAATGCGGTATTATGATTACTTGCATTATGTACATTATTCTTTTTGTTATCGTTATCTTCATTATCATATTCACAGCGTTTCGGCCTCTATATCTCTGAAATGAGGTATTATGATTACTTGCATTATGTACATTATCCTTTTTGTTATCCTTATCTTCATTATCATATTCACAACGTTTCGGCCTCTATGTCTCTGAAATGAGGTATTATGATTACTTGCATTATGTACATTATCCTTTTTGTTATCCTTATCTTCATTATCATATTCACAACGTTTCGGCCTCTATGTCTCTGAAATGAGGTATTATGATTACTTGCATTATGTACATTATCCTTTTTGTTATCCTTATCTTCATTATCATATTCACAACGTTTCGGCCTCTATATCTCTGAAATGAGGTATTATGATTACTTGCTTTATGTACATTATTCGGACAGTTATCTTCATCTTCATTGCCATAATCACAATATTTCGGCCTTTAAATGCTCCGGCCTTCTGCATGTGTCTAGAATTTTTCTTCAATATCTGTCTTTATATCTGAGATTAGGCATTATGTTTAATTGCATTATTTGCATTATTTGGACTGTTATTCTCATCTTCATTGCCATATTCACAACTTTTCGACGGTTGTACCCTCGGGTGTTTCGAATTTCAAACCGAATTCTTTATTCCATTCACCAGGTTAGATGGATCTAGTTCCACGTGTCATACCTTTTCCGGATGTCCAATCACCCGAAGAATTATGGCCGAAACGTTGTCAATGTTAATGTATAATCCTGCAATAATTTTTATTGTTTAAAAAAAAAAAAAAATTCTGTCTATATCTCTGAGATCAGGTATTATGATTACTTGCTTTATTTACATTATTCGGACTGTTATCTCATTTTCATTGCCATATTCACAACGTTTCGGTACGAAATTCTAATCATCTGAAGAAAGCCGGACCGTACAACAGCCGAAACGTTGTGAATATGGCAATGAAGATGAGGATAACACTCCGAATAATTTAAATAATGCAAGTAAATAAAGCTGATTTTAAATTTTAAATGTAACTTGAGTTTGTCTAATCACAGAGTTGTTGCCTTTATTTATTTGTAAAGAATTACATATTCGATCAGTCTAAGCAGAAAAATACTAGCAATAATTAGAAGACGTGCTGGGAATTGACAATGACGGAACAGGAAATAAAATATTTCCGTATGAGTGAGAAAATCTTAGGAATTTACGCAAAAAATAAAAAAGCAACATATAACTCTGAGAGGTCGAAGACAGAAATTCTGGAAAAATGGTCTTATTTAGACAGATGTTCATATAAAGTGTGTTCCATTAAAAAGAAATTTTATATAAAGATGTTTCATTAAGACGGTTCGATGTCAGAAGTAAATAAATCAGTGTTATTGGTGAAAATGTATTTATTTACCTATTATGTTATTTAAGTCATAACAATTATGTGTGAAAATTAATATCGCTCAAATGCCCGCTAAATCTGAAAGAAAAACAGAAAATTATTAGACGCTTATACTTAATTCACTTTTAAAATCTTTTAAAGTTATTAGTACACCCTTTACAAAGGAATACGTTTTCAATATATTAAGCAGAACTGGTCAGTTTAATTTGTTACATCTAAGGTGTCTTTATATTAAATTCAATATAAGGCTTGAGAGACACTCAACGTAAAGGCTTACTGAATGAGGTGCCTAAGATTAGATTAGGAGAAGTGAAAATTATGACAATAAGGAGATTATATTCCCAGGAACTTCTACTTTATGGAAGCGACGCCCACACTTTGAACACTACATTGATTGATTGATTGATTAATTTGTGTTTTCTACGCTTTATCAACCTTTTTCAGGTTATTAAAAGAAATAAAATATTTTTAGTTTAAGAAGAATTTCTCGGAGATAATAATGATTTACTGATGCAATTCCTAATAATTAACCTATAGATGGGGGAAAAATAAGTAATTTTATACATTTCCAAATGAGTTATTTGAGCGTAAGTGAACACAACGAGCTAGGCTGCAATTGGATCTTTTCTCTCCAATTTCCAACTCAGAGTTGTTATTCATTACACCACCCGCACACCCAAGCTTACAGGACCTGGTATTGCCAAGATTTCGTGTTGCTTAACTTTAGTGATTGACCAAGAAACGTTGTTTCAGTGTGATATGTCAATAAGCCTAAACCAGTGCAGAAAGAGTCAGGTCCTCCGTAGATCATTATTAAAAGCCGATTATTTCTCAGTATTTCTAGCGAAGGATTTTATATCTGAGTTCCACTTGTTCAAATTATGGAGCCTCGTTATTAGTACATCTGTTCATTGTCAATGGATATGGCTCAGCGTCTGCTCGGGATAATATACCATTGGCAAATTTTCTTGTGCTTAATGCGAGAAATCTTGAACGAAAATTGAGGGCAAAAAAGTGGGGTCGTATTATACAGAAATACATGTTTCACGTATTATACAGAAGTACAAATGGTCAGAAACTCAGCACAATAGATAATAGAACACAAAGTTGATATTAGGGAATCCGTGACTGGCAT